GATGTTGGAATGTTCTATATAGTTCCAGTTGTTCCTTTCGCAAAGCTGTTTGATGATGGTGTTGGCTTCTTTTGCCTTTCTGTTTAGAAAGGATACGTGTGGACGGTCGTATCCGCAAATTTTCGAATACGCTGACGTAAACACGATTTTGCGCATGCTCAATAAGAAAAGCTATCCATCAAAGGGACTAGCGTGCATCAGGGCGGATCAAGAAATTTCCGGATACGTGTGGACAGCGAAAACGATTCGAAAACGATTCGAATACGCTGCGTGTGGACGCGAACATTTTCTTATCCGGAAAAAAAAATTTGCGGATACAAAAATTTGCGGATACGTGTGGACGGGGCCTTAGGCTATTATATTTCAATTAGACGGGGACAGTCGTACTTCCCTCTGAAGGATTAGCATTACCTCACCATCCATAGGCAAAGGTTCAAGACGACGGGTCGTTTTGGAACTGGCGGTCCGTAAGATCTTTTCTGTAGATAATGGTAAACTGCAGCGTTGATCAACATGCCCAATACTGATATGCAGCCTTTCGAAAAACGTTGCTCGGAGATCAGAAATCTGAGACCGAGTGGGGTTGTTGGGGACTTGAGGGTTGTATACAGTGTATACATAAAAGCTATTTCATTTTTCTTTTTAACTTTTATTGGTGTAAGTGACAAACATAATAGAATGTTTTTGACCGCTGTTTGATATCACGGAGAGTCACTCTCTGTAAATCAGTTTCTTGGAAATCCAAAAATGCATCACGTCTCGCGATTGTCTTTCATTCAGCCGGATGTTTCGCCCACAAGTCAGTTTAGCGCACACCGTTTAGCCCACGACCGTAAGTCTCTTCGTCCACACGACACGTCCACACATGTCATATGAATATACACTTGAAAAGCTTTATGAAATAGAATTTATGTAATTTTAAGTCCATCAGAGCAATGACAGAACTTTAGAATAGCATTAATTCCAGTTATCGCGATGAAAGTCAAAGATCTATCGCGCTGTATCTCGCGCTGTGTTGTGCAGTTGTGATTCGCGAACTCGGATGTCAATGAAAATGACACATCAAAGCATTGTAAATGTCAATAAGGCCTAAACTCATGGCTGAACAACATACTTTACGAAATTGTTTTACCAGCTGGAGAGTCAGTCATCGCTAAAGCCAGCTTTCGCTTATAGCCGCCATATTTAATTAATGCTGCATTATGCATCGCGCTGAGACTGGGTTCTAGTTACCTTGCATGTAGCCTCCGCCTCCTTTGCAGCCGTTCTTTAATAGGTAAGAAGCAAATGACTACGTTTTTTTGTCATCATTAATATGTCATTTACAAATGTACAATTCAATTTATTGGAAGTACACAATTTATTTACAAGCAAAAAATTTCAACAAATGCATGAAGCCTACAATTGCCCTAATTCACTATGACGTCACATCAAAACAATCTTCAACAATCTATTTAAACGCAAAGGATCATGGTCGTCGGAGGGTGTCAAATCAACGCAAATTCACCGAAAATTGATCTAAATCCCGTATCAATCCACGAAGTAAAGAAGAGAAGTAAAATAGCCAGCAAAAATTAAACTCTCAGAATATCTTTTAGTACATACAAGAGAATATTAAGTAAGTTACTTCATATTCTCTTGGTACATATGAACACATATTATATTTGAAAACCAGGCCATTTTAGATTAAACTGTTTCGCTAGGAGCAAATTTTGTTGAATTTTCTATTGGATTTGGCGATTCTATCCCCCACATAAACAAGCAATGACGTCATAGTGAAATAGGGCAATTAAGCTTAATGGCCAAAACTGAACATGCTTTCAAAAGCTGAGCCGGCTGATTTCTCATTCTTAGATTAATCCTCCCATAGTTTTAACACTTTACATTGCAAATTACGATATTTCTTTCTCTGTATTCTTTTAAGTTTTTCTTCTGAACTAGTTTCATCTGTAGCCCCACAAGGTTAGCTTAGGTTTATCAAACGACAATAGAAATTGTGAATAAGTAAATTATTGTTCTCTGCTCATGAGAGGTGTGTCGTAGTACTGAGCCCGTTAAGGGACACTCATAAACGCGCAACTATTTTTGAAAAATCCCGAGTTACTAGTGTGAAAATCCCGACTTACGAAAATCCCGACTTACGAAAATCCCGACTTACAAAAATCCCGACTTACGAAAATCCCGACTTACAAAAATCCCGACTTACGAAAATCCCGACTTACAAAAGTCCCGACTTACGAATATGCACGTGCCCGTCGTTATCAACATGGCGGATATGGGGGACATGGAAGACACCGTCACCGTCGACAAGGTAAGTTTTAATTTTTTCCTTAGTGAGAAGAAGCACAATTTCCTTCTTATTCAATTTAGATTTTGAAGAGAAAAGCAAAATTAAAACTTACCTTGTCGACAGTGACGGTGTCTTCCATGTCCGCCATGTCCGGCATGTTGATAACGACGAGCACGTGCATATTCGTAAGTCGGGATTTTTGTAAGTCGGGACTTTTGTAACTCGGGATTTTCACACTAGTAACTCGGGATTTTTCAAAAAAAAGTTGTCAGCGTTTATGAGTGTCCCTTAACGGGCTCTGTAGAGGTGAGAAAAATAGGAACAATACATGATCGCGTGTATTGTTCGTAAACATTGCCGCGTATTGAGGTACACCCTAGCAAACAGCAAACAAGCGACGACTTATTAGTGATGCCGTGATTTTAATAATTATAAAAATCTTCGATAAGATTAAATAATCATGTTTTTAATAAAGATTTTCTTCAGAAAGCCACGATTTGTTTCGAAAATCTGACCGATTGTTGGTTTCACTTCATTGACGAGCATTTTAGTCCACACAACAAAATCGTTTGCGTCTGAACTTTTCAGTCTTTCGTGGTGTTTTTCCTTACCCATTAATCGCCTTGATACTTACAAAAACCTTCGATAAGATTAGATAATCATGTTTTTAATAAAGATTTTCTTCAGAAAGCCAAGATTTGTTTCGAAAATCTGACTTGTTGGTTTCACTTCATTGACGAGCAAGTCTTTACACTTTTATTGCCGTCACTCCGTCAACAACAAAGTCGTTCGCGTCTGAAGTCAATTCTCAGCGCTTTGACTTTCATCGAGACAACTGGAATGCTATCCTAAAAGTTGCTTTGATGGACTTAAAATTACATAAATTGTATTTCATAAAGCTATTGATGTGTATATTTATATGACAAGATATCGTGTGTGGGAAATTGATTTGATGGTGTGGGCTGACTTGTGGGCTAAACATCCGGTAACCCTGCACACTATAACGAAAATATTAAAGAAAATACATTCGCAAATTCCTTTATTTTAATAAAGAACACTGCTGTTGTTTCTGATATAAAAATTCCTTTCTCATTCAGCACGAAGTTTTGAAATTCAAAATAAATAAGGACAATATTTGATAACGTAATGCAAATAAACACAATAGAAAATCAGATATTGCTTTACTTTATACTGAAGCATTTATGTAATATACCGCGTACACTAGAAGTTTCAATATTCCTGTAATATTAAATTTTTGCTCGTAGGCATTTTTTAGGCATTTTTACGTGATTTTTTAATACTTTAAAATTAGATAAAAAATTACTGTATGGTTCAGTTAAGAAATAAATTAAAAATATATAATATAATACTGTATGGTTCAGCTAACTGAAGTGGGCTTCTTAGAAATTTATTTTTAATTTGCAATATGACGCGCATTCCTGAAATTAATCAATGAGATGTTTATTGAGCCTTATAAATACCTCTCCACACGCATTTACAGACAAACGTCAGTCCCACGTCCTTGGAGCAGCAGAAAGAAGAAAGAAAGGAACTACGAAGATGACTACAAACAAACCAGGCAAGAAAAAGATGTTATTGAGATGGACGCATGGCGTCGGGAAAATGCTTTTTATCATACTGGTATTCGTACAGGCCATTGCACTTGCTAGATATCCAAGCATCTATTGGAAAAGCGAATGGGGTAACATAATGCTGATTGTGATGCTACCAAGTGTGATAGTATGGTACCAACACAAAAAGAAGACAGATGAGCAACAGATAGATCAGCTATGGAAGGTATGGCTGGCCTATATTATTCCTCTTACGGTAATGATTAGTGTAATATTTGGAGGCTTGAGGTCAAAACTTGACAAGACTCACTTTTTTGGACCCAACATTCTGAGGATGACTATGTGTATCACTCCTGGAATTGCTTTACTTCTCTTTATAACTACTTCAAAAGCAAGAAAACACTACAGTGAACTTGTAGTAGTGCTGTGTGGGAATGTCGCCGTAGACTTGTTTGATTACGTGGAAGTTCTAACGGCTCTTCTCCCCCAAAGTGGGTCAGTTTATCTTTCTGATGCCATTGCTTGCCCCACAATAGCATTAGTTCTTGTCAGTCTTTTACTCTCTGTCATGGAAATAAGCGAGAACAAGCTTCGAGAAGGTAGGATCGAAAAAAATGAAAAACTGTATCTCTGGCGATTGATTCTAAAAATACCAGTCAACCTCACGCTTCTTATCATTCGACTGGTTGTGTGGTTAAAACTCAAACACGATGYTTCTATCTTCATTGCGAAGAATATGATCATTATTTTGATCATGATTTACAATATTGTGCTGTACTTCTTGGACAAAAAAGAAAACACAAAAAAGGAAGAGTCGCCGAGCAACACTGGAAATGGGCAGTGCCACCAAACAGAAAGCCTTGGGAACGGAACTGCCAAATCCAAGAGCCAAGACTATTACAATCAAGGACAAAATGTAGAAGCATGTGGCATTTAATATTTCTTGGAACTCAAAATTGGTTATCAGTTGCGGTTTTAGCTAGTCTCCCACACAGCCGAGACAAGGCAGAAAAGCGACAAGCCCGCTAATTTCACGATTTTTTTATTTAATTGTGTTTAATACTCTACATTTTTAAGCGTTTCATTTGCGTGACTGCTGCTCGAAACTTGTGACGAAACTTAATCGAATCATTAGAGTAAATCTACTTATTTGTATTCACGAAAGGGATCAGTTTTTCTGCTGATCAAAACATCACCTCTCCCAAAGTACAAGGCTGTATATCTCAAATACGTCGCATTTGATATTTTGCTATTTGGCCCCAAAGAACGTGTTTACAAAATATTGAGCTTAAATACGTAAAATGGCGAAAGGCCAAAAACCGTTTTTCTGCCCTGTCCACAGCCGAAGCTTTGCGTGACGACACTGAAAGCAGCTGTGGGGGAGACTAGGTTTTAGCTGGCTGTCCTTGTAAAATTCATGCATGTGTAGCAAACGAACTAGAGAAAATAACTTACACACCAAGATTATAGACCATTTTTTGTAGCTAAAGTAAAGGTGCTCTTTCTAGCACTGTTATAGGTTTCTGTTGTTAATTTGTGGCTGATATTTTGGAGAAGGGTCTATTAGGAATTCAGAATACCTAGAGTGCTTTTAGTCTCACTGTTGAATAGGTGACGTCAACTAAATTAGATAAGTTATCAATTACTGTTTTAGCTGACGTCACCCAATTTTGAAACTACGAGTAAACAGCTACTGAGATCAGGGGGAGAAACGATGRTACAAATGAATGYCTATTCACTCATTCTCTGGTAAAACAACCCCCCGGATCAGCATGACCGTTATTTGCAGCGCTTTTACTATTTTAGGTGACGTCAACTAAATAGTTATCTAAGTTAGATAAGTTTACCTAACTATTCAACAGTTTGAATGAATGCACTCTATTAATATATACCTAATTAATTTACTTCTCAGTTGTAATGTTATGTTGTTAAAAAAAATATCATGATACACTTTAGCAATGCAATTTATTAGTTGTCAAAATTCTATTGTGGTTTGATAATGAAATTAGTTTTATTCATTTCACTTTTTGACAAAAACTGAACGTGAGCAAAACTAAAGAACAGTCATCCATAAAGGCTACGTCAATAAAGTGTTCATTGGCTTAGAACCGAGAAATACAAACCAATTATGTAAATTGATTCAAACCTAAGTCACAACTAGTGTTCAACTATCCTCCACAGTGCAGTCAAAGACGGTAGGAATTCTGGGGAAGACTTCACCATGTGGAATACCCTACCAGACGGTCGAGGGAAGTTTCCCTTGGTAGAAACAAATGGATTCTGGTGGCTAACTAGCGCTAGCGGTTATTAATTTCTCGCTCAACTTTGAACGAGTTGGATATTCGGTGCTAATTTGCTGCTTGGGAACTAGGCAAAGCATAATAGTAATTTTTCTTTTGTTACCCCGGAGCCTCGACTCAGATTGTAGCGTAGGGTAGTAGCATGGGTGGCGTTCGCGGCTAACGCGTCGTCTTTCACCGCTATGAGTCCAACGCCTCGGGTCGCTGGTTCGAGCCCTGCGGTCGGCCGTTGTGTTGTATATGCTACGAGGGGTTTCTCCGGGTTCTCCGGTTTCCTCCCTCCATAAAAATCAACATGTGAGTTGAGTGTTGTATGTTGTAAATATATAACGTAGTTGTAAGGACAATATTTCATAACGTAATGCAAATAAGCACAATAGAAAATCAGATATTGCTTTATTTTATACTGAAGCATTTATGTAATATACCGCGTACACTGACTAGAAGCTTCAATATTCCTGCAATGTTAAATTTTTGCTTGTAGGCATTTTTTAGGCATTTTTACGTGATTTTTAAATACTTTAAAATTAGATAAAAAATTACTGCTAAGCTAAAAAAAATAAAATAAATTTAATATAAATACTGTATGGTTTAGTTAACTGAAGGGCCGTTTCTTATTAGAAATCTATTTTTAGTTTGGGTCGACGTCTTCCTGAAATTGACCAATGAGATGTCAGTATTGAGCCTTAATGATACCTCTTTGCACGCACATTTGCAGACAAACGTCTGTCCGCCGTCCTTGCATCAACAGCAAGGAAAAAAGACTGCAGCTATATCAAGATGACTACAAACGAACCAAGCAAGAAAGAGAAGGTATTGAGATGGACGCATGGCATCGGGAAATTRCTTTTTATCATACTGATATTAGTACAGGCCATTGCACTTGCTAGATATCCAAGCATCTATTGGAAAAACGAATGGGGTAACATAATGCTGATTGTGATGCTACCGAGTTTGATAGTATGGTGGTACCAACAAAAGAAGAAGACAGATGAGCAACAGATAGATCAGCTGTGGAAGGTATGGCTGGCCTATATTATTCCTCTTATGGTAATGATAAGTGTAATATTTGGAGGCTTGAGGTCAAAACTTGACAAGACCTTTTTTTTTGGACCAGACATTCTGAGGATGACTATGTGTATCACTCCTGGAATTGCTTTACTTCTCTTTATAACTACTGCAAAAGCAAGAAAACACTACAGTGAGTTTATAGCAGAACTGTGTGGGAATGTCGCCGTAGACTTGTTTGATTACGTGGAAGTTCTAACGGCTCTTCTCCCCCAAAGTGGGTCAGTTTATCTTCGTGATTCCGTCGCTGGCACCACAATAGCATTAGTTCTTGCCAGTCTTTTACTCTCTGTCATGGAAATAAGCGAGAACAAGCTTCAAGGAGGTAAAATCGAAAAAAGTGAAAAACTGTATCTCTGGCGATTGATTCTGAAAATACCAGTCAACCTCACGCTTCTTATCATTCGACGGGTTGTGTGGTTAAAACACAAACACGATGCTTCTATCTTCGTTGCGAAGAATATGATCATTATTTTGATCATGATTTACAATATTGTGCTGTACGTTTTGGACAAAAACGAAGACAGAAAAAGAAAGATCCAAGAGAAACACTAGAATACAGTTTCACAGAACGGGAAGCCTTGGTAACTGAAAAGTGAAGGAAAAATGAAGGCAGTGTTCCCTAGTCTGGGGAAGGTCAAGAGGTCGCTGATAGAAGCACAGGGAGCCCAATTTAGATTAAAGTGAATGGTGAAAATAAAATCGGAAAAATTAAATAATTAATTATTTTGTTAAATTCGAGATCAAGATAATGTCCTCCGTAATGCGGAAGAGTAAAAAAATAAATATAAAGTACACTAGAACATTTTTTTCGCTCGAGCCTTTGTTTTTCTATATAATATCCCTATATGATTAATTTTCCTTTTAGTAGGCCCTACATATTTTCAATCGTGTCTAGAAATCAAAGGACGTGTGGAAATGCAACGTTTTCTGTTGTTTACAATAGAGGCCTAAGTGGTCACGTCTTATAATCCAAAAAAAGTTCGCATCTGTTTCTTCTAAAAGCCTGTGTATTGTTATATTTTACATCTAAGTCTCTCGATTGCAAGCGCATCTAGTTCTTTGTAACGTCCATTTACTTTTTTGAAGCTCCAACAAGCTAAAGTACCAATGGACTAATAAGATGCGCTTCTCTCCAGAGTATATCTGACACCGCTATTCCGTTCTTAGCCTGAATCATGTCATTTACTAATTGCATTCTATTTTATAAACATGAATTCAATATCATAGTAGAGTATAAAAATTTATTATATAGATATCGATGAAATACCAGGTTTTCTCTAGTGTCGAAAACTTGATATCTTTCACCAGTGGAAGATACTATATCTTTCACACGTGAAGATATCGTTGTTGACATAGTAACGTATTTTAATAAAGAATTTTTGAGCTTTTGTTTTATTTAAGTTTCATCGATATCTATATAATAAACAGAACATTACATGGCCGCTTGGAGATACGAATTTTATTTTCTCAATTTAGATATAGCTGCGGTCACTAGTGAGATATCAATTGAAACTCGAAGATAAAATTCGTATCTATATTCGCCCATGTATTGTCCTCTATATATCGTGTAAGTTTTGAAAATACTGCCGCTAGAGCTACTGAACTCAACCATTTTGGGTCAGATATGAAAATACTCGCTGCTAATACTGCTCTAGTCAAATGACCCTTAATCGTGAGACAAATGAATAAGTATCATCTATTACTACTTTCCGGAGGCGGAAGGGGGAAAAACAAAATTTGCAAACACAACTGCAGTAAGTACGCTTCTAACTAAGCCTGAACTGCGATCTCTGCAAGCAGACCCAGAGACCATGCGGGGCACCCCGCAAATCGATGAGCTCTCGTTCGAGATACCTCTGACTGACTGCGCAAGCTTGACTCGATTTTTACTTAGACTGAATTACATTCAGCCACATATAAATGAGGTTAAAATTAGGATCAAAATAACAACAAAAAATGTTTAGCTCACATTATAGCATTATAAATAATAAATGTTTTAGGAGATCCCAATATACCCTCATCTATAGTGGCGGCCACAAAGTAAGGTGAGTTAAAAGCTATACCAGCACTGCGGCCAATATAACCTCTACAATAAAATGAATTTTTGTAGTGTTACTAAAGTAAAAGTGCTCTTTCTAACACTGGCATGTGTTAGCTTGTATAGGTTTTTAATGCCGTTTAATCATTTGAATTTGTGGCCGCCGTTTTGGAGAAGGGTCTATTTTCTATTTGGTTCCAAGAAATTCATGTGATACTTCATGGAATTCAGACCTAATACATTTACCTTGTATTTACTTCATCAGATGTGTTTTTATGGCGTTAAACGAAATTAATGAACTTTAATTTAATTTGAAAAAATTTTTTATTTGTTGTCAAAAACCTATTTTCGTAAGATCATGAATTTTGTTGGAAAACACTTTTTGACATAAAAACTTAACGTGAGCATAAGTAAAGAACACTTATCCAAGGCTACTTCAGTAACGTGTTAGAATGGAGCCATTTAACCCGTGAAATAAAAAATACTAGTCAACGTGTAATAGTCAAATAGACACAAAAGAAAACAATGGAATTAGGGTCTACTAAAATGTATTAGTCTAATATCTATTTCACGGGTTTAATGACTTCACTCTATTAGCTTTGAAACAAGAAATACTATCTAATTATCTAATTAATCTAATTAATCTAATTAATTGCATTCAAACCTAAATGACAACTGCTCAGTGCAGTCTAGCAATAGGGGCTATTTATTTTTCGCTCAACTTCTTGAGCCAAGAGTAAAACTATTTGGATACTCAATGCTAATTTGCTGCTGGGGAACTGGGCAAAGAATAATTCTGTGCTTCAGAATGCAGTCTTTTTGTCCGCGTTTTCTTGCTAATTTTTCTCTATAATGTTATATGGCACAAGATAAGGTCATTCTGAAGATTCATGTTGATGTTCGCTGTCATGGCAGACAAACAGATCACTTTGATATTTTTGGTATTTTAATAGTAAGTCTCGCTTAGTCTATAACGTTATCCTTTTCAAGAGTTCTGAGGTGAAACGAGTCAAATCCAGCCAATGGGAAGTCTTGCGATTGTGTGCGATTGTCTGATGCATATTCATTTTCACTAAAATGCTTCGAAGGTGAAGGAAATTTAGTAGAGCTATGACTTACAAGTTGTCGATCATGAAATGTTTAACATCACCATCTTCGTGGCTGTTCACCTTTCTTCTGATCATACAGGGGGGTTTGTTCGCTCAGTACCCGCGTGAATACTTTAATAGCACGTGGTGGGCTCTATCTCAGTATATCCCTGTCCTGAATCTAACTGTGTACATCTGTATATATACACCTATATACATGTTCCGTGTATACGTATGTATATGTATTTATCCATCTTAATATATACCTGTCACTGATATGTACATATGTATATATGTATATACATATACATCCTATATTATACACATATACACTTTTAATGCATAGACACTTTTGTATATGTACTCATAGACACTTGTACATATACACTCTAGTCAACAGTGAGTCCCGGGCTGACCTTCCATATAGTGGATGCAAAAATGAAGATGACAGTGTTGAGTTCCAGGAATTTTTGGCTGGTTTTGAGAACAACAGACGACGGGACTTTTTGGAACTGAGCCCCCGAAATGCACAAGCACTACCCAGGAGAAATTATTATTTTTAGGCTTTTATATCGCAATTAGACGGGGAAAATCTCTCTGACGGATTAGCATTACATCAACATCCATAGGCAAAGGCTCCAGCAGGAGACGAGTCTTTTGGAATTGGTCGTCCTCCGAAATGCGAAAACACTACCGAGGATACATCGAGGAGAAAGCACTACCGAGGAGAAATCCTTATACGTTAGTTTAGTTAATACATTTTGTCCCAGTTAGACGGGGGAAAATATCTTACTTCACTCAGTAGTCATTCCCCTTCCGTGCATTCCCGGTTAAGAAAAACGTACAGCACACTCAGTAAAAAAAAAAAATCGCATTAAAAAAAACCCTGTATGAATTTTGTATTACTCAATAGCATCATAAAGATTCGGATTAGACATAAGTTGTTTCATTATTTCATTGGGTTTTTTTTTCGTCTGGTAGGTACTCGTTAGGGGAATACCCCATTAGTGACGCTGTACGTCTAAACATTTCTGTTATCTTTATTCATTAGGGAAATATCCCTGGCATGGTTCACGCTGTAATAAGCAGTTAGATTGAAATAGAAATTTTGATAACCCAATGTTTCCTTTATGGTTCTTTTTTATTTCATTTTTAAGTTTTATGCAATGTATAGCGAGAAAAATATTTCTTAGTCTTTCGGGGGGGAAATCCTGTGCGCCAGAAAAATTAACACTGTAAATGTCTTTTTGTGTGTTCGCTATTTTTCCATCTAGTTTTAGAGTATTATTTGTCACTCATGTGTTAGCGGGCAAATCAGTGCAGGCTCAAAAGAGCTTAGCTTCTTATTACAGCGCTTCTCAATCACAAAAATCGATGCAATTCCATGTGGCGACTAAATAGAGTTTTGGTAGACGTTAATCTAAGTTTTTCCAAGACATTGTCAGAAAACACATACCTTTCAAGTGCATATGGAATGTCATGGAAACGACGTGATTGACGTCCAATCAGAAGACAGTATTTGCTGATCTATTGGTGTAAGTTTCTATAGTGTAATGACCCTCAAGTTTCTTGGAAATCTATTTTAGGAATTACGTAGTACTCGCCATTGTGTAGTTAACCAATAGTATTTCAATATGATAGGTATATATATAAGTAAACTTTATTCAAGCTTCATTTACTGTGTCAAGACACAAGCTCACAATGTGCTGCAAACATTTAAACAAGCAAGATGTGCAAAAATGGACAGCACGTATTGGACGATTCTCGTACTCCATAGCTGTATTTGTACAAGCCGTCTTGTTTTCCCAATACCCAAGCATCTATCGTAAAGAAAAACGTTTTAACGCCCTCTTTTTGTTAGCATTACCAACTGTCATTGCTGCCTTGGTTGTGATATTGAGGAAAAGTGAACGAGAAGTCAAATGGCTATGGTTAGTGTGGTTCCTGTACGTCTCTTGTCTGCTCACCCCGATGGTTGGCTTTATATTTGGGGATCTAAGAGATAAGCTTGACACTAATGAGTTTTTTGGGCCAAATATCCTGAGGATAATAATCTGTGGCTCCCCTGTTATTGCTGTACTTTTGTTTGTATCAGCAAAAGATGCAAGAAGAAATGGCGACCTGGTCGTTCAACTGTGTGGAGGTATAGCACTGGATTTGTTTGATGATATTGAAGTCTTGGAGGTGTTACTACCACAGAAGGAATCATCCCTCACCCACCTACCAAAAGGTTTACAAATCAGTATCATCGTCTGCGTTTGTGCAAGCCTTCTTCTTTCGCCACTGGAAATTGCAGAAAATAAACTCATCGATTATGGCCAATACAAACCTCGAAAGACGCTCTACCTTTGCCGAATTATTCTTCAGATGCTTTGCGTGAACTTGACGTTGCTTATTATTCGAATGGTGGTATGGCTGGAGTATAAACACGACGCTTCGATATTCATTACAAAAAACTTAATCACAATAGTGATTGGGATCATAACCATTGCAAGATTGCGTTGCGGCTTCGATGAACCATAGACAATTACAGTTTAATGATTAAAAGACAAGCTGCAAAAACAAGAAACGTTTACCTTTTTTTGCCTTACATTTATCGTAATATTGGCCTAAGTAAGAAACCTAAAATCTTTCATTTACTGAACAGTGGCTTTGATAAGACAGCGCATAGCGATGAGACCGCCCTAAACATTGTGTTAATGTGCTAGGTAAGCAGTGTTGAACATTGATTTCTGAGAAACACACCGTAGATACTTCAGAATAAGAAATGTATGTCATTGTTTTCCCACATATTTATAATCATGTAAACATAGATTTATACATTTCACAAAGTGATTTATCTTATTTCTTTGAAACATAATCTTAAAGAATATTACTTTATTTTTTAAATAATAAAAATGATTACTTGTGAGAAAATTGTTATAGGTTGTTTGCTTGACAAAATCGAGGAGTTTCCCCGGCTTTCTTTATGCAGATTTCTTGAGCATTGTGAAACTGACGTGCTTTGAGTATATGAAAAACCATGCAAGCTGAAGAGTAGGTCAGACGGAAATGTCTCTTGGAGCCATCAAAGTAAGAACTGCTCGATAGTGGGAAACCTTCAAATCTTTGTCATTTGCATTCCAGAAAACTCGTAATAAAACAGAATATCAAAAACCTAGCAAATGGACATTCTTATGTTGCTAGCTCTTATATTGCCTTTTTTAATCTGAAAAACTGAGATCTTATATTCATGGTTCTTCTGGAGCAGGTATATGGGAATCAACTTTATTTTTTTTCAAATATAAATTTGGCCGAGGAAATGATAAATTGGTGTTTGGGTCCTTGAAATGAGGTCACACCGTGAACGATTTCACTGCACTGGAAAAGCATCGTCATCGTCGCGTCTTTTTTTTATAATCATCATCATCATTAGCAGTAATATCTTGAAAAGTAAAAACGTTGTAAGTACAGATTTTTAAAATAAAGGGAAAAAACCCAGTAAATTTATGTTCTTGTAAAAAAAAAGCAGCAGCAACAGCAACAGCAGCAACAACAAAAACAACAGCAATGATGTAACAACATCATCACAAGATAAAGCTTAATCAATACCCATACCCACCCCATACCACCACCATAACCTCGTTCATAATTACAATATATGCCATTGCTTCACGAAGCGTCCGAGAAAGCACATTTGAATCTAGTTACTGAATGTTACTCATCGGCGCTGTGTACTTCTAAGGGGCACGTTGTAATCTTTACTACACCATACCACAGCAGGACCAAAGTTTAATTCATAATTTACGCTGTATATGGATCATCGCTGATAGTGTCCTATAGACCCCTTACGGCATGTCGGAATGCAGCTCAAATTGGAGGGCACAACAATAGGTTTACAATTCTCGTGAGATTGAAATTCGTGCCCCTTTGACGTCACATGCAAAGGGTCTATCTATATACACTCAGTACATTTGCATTCAATTGAATGTTACTCATCTTCATCAGGGCATCCACATAACCTAAAGACGCTGCACACTTCAAAGGAACACGTTGTGATCTTCAGTGCATTCTTGACTAAAAATATGGAAGCCTCCTGTGCAAATTTCAACCAAAGCACTAAACGAACCGCAAGGAAAGCGCAGTTGGAAATGACGATTTGCAGGACAAACCTTGCTGTAAAAGGAGCCTTTAAAGTATGAGTCTTTCCAGAATCTTCCACGAAAATCTCCATCAACTCTAGTGGAGAGGCGATCAAACTTACGCATGCAAAGACTCCAACAGCCACTTTAAATTGATCTGGTATACCTTGCATTGTCTGTCTTTTGTACATAAGCATTTCCAAAATCTCTATGGAGTCGAACATTTCAAGGCTTATGTTGGCTGATAACTTCTTTAAAAGTTCACGATGTTTCTCTCTCGGGGGTCCTGTGTTGAGCATGAGGAGAACCAAAATAGGTGAAATGCTGATTGTTAGTTTTAAAGAACTGGATCCTAATAGTGTTTCCTTAGCATCAATGAATTCAACGACATCATTCAACATTATGCCAAGATAGGGTACTAAAGCGATCCATATGTGAGAGCCCAATACAAGCCAAAGATGATGAATCGAGCCTTTTTGCACCACAAATACAATCCATGCAAGGAGACCAGGAATGTAAAGAAATGCCATGAATGAGTATTCTGGGTGAGAATACTTGATAAAGAAGACGTTGAACAAGAAGCATTGGAGTAGCAAAAGTAAGACGAAGAGTACTCGCCCAACATGGACCATGATGCTAAGGCCAGTCATTCTTCCATCAAAATATCCTCTCTAACCTGTTAATTTCTGGTACCCTCAGTATCAGTTCGAGTCGTTTTCTTTCTTCTTTATGATCCATTTATCTTTAGGCTACTCTCAAATTTTTGACAGAAGCTGGTTTTATAATTCATTTTTCATGCCAAAGCGGGCCGAGTTCAGCTTTACATTTATCAAGACTTTGGCGTCCTCGACGTGAAATTCCTTCATTGACTTAAGTGAATTCTGTGGCCCTCACTATTTCTTGGAGGTTTTCTTTTCTGTGCCGGTTTACTTCTCTTTTCACCCTTCCTGGACGCTTTGATTTTGTTAATTTTTGACGCTATTCTTTTATCCGCCAACGGACTTGTCAAGTCATGATTTTTGGGGAACCCAGCAAGTTAATTTTTTTTCCAGAATTTCTCTTTTTTCCCGAAAATTGTCCCCTTGCATGTGTCTACCAGTTCGCAACTCTGGAAGGAGGACTTAGATTTATGAGCAATCGATTGTCGAAATTTTCCCTAAAAAGTGATTATTTATTCAACATGAATTTGATTATATAGCCTCTTACCAGTTTTTTCAGCCATGAAAAGGTTGGTTCTACGTCAATGCACCACCATGAAAGATTTCTAATCATTAGAAAAAACTGGTAAGAGGCTATATAATCAAATTCAGAGTCTGAGACTTTTGCCATCAGTCACGTGATAAGCTATGTTTCTTAACTGAAAGGTTGTTATTTTATATTTTGATTTCTTCCGTCCGTTCGTCCGTTCGTCCGTCCTTCTTTCCCAAATTTCGTTTTATTAAGGATAAGCTTATGCTTGTCATGCACCACTTCATCCATTGTGATAATTTATATGTTTTATAATTGTATCATTTATTCCCTGGTGATGGACTAAGCCTTAAAACTCGAAACTGTCTGGGGTAGTGAATTGCCGGCTTTCACTTGACGTCATTTCCTGTCTCCTGCGGAATGTTCATAAGCTGAATCATAAGTTTTCAATAGAATTCTTTCTGGCTGACAGCACATAGTGGCCAGTGTTGGCAGAAGGGTAGGTTCTGGAACGAGGTTGACTTAATCCTTAAAAAACCAGCTGCTGCATGGGTTACTGAAAAAAATAGCTTTTGAAAGCTAGAACATGATGCACACTTAAATAATATTCAACCAAAGAGAGTGAACTAAAACCTATTTGTCAGCTAATTTTGTGCTTCGAAGCTCTTCGATCAGCTAATTCTGCTGTCATGGTCAAAAGCCTCAGCTTCTGCTCATTATAACTACGAACATTCAATAACGATGCAGAAAATAGCAAAATTCTTCGTTTACATTGGAAGATTTATGCTTGTAGCATCACTGGTCGCACAGGCAGTTATCTTCTCCATGTACCCAAGCATCTACTACAAGAAAGAATCGTTTGTTTCTTTGATTGTCCTCGTGTTGCCAACTCTGATTGCGTATGGTGTCATTTCCTATAATTCTGATGATAAACCGACTTTAAACAGGCTATGGATCGTATGGGGTTTCTATGTGTCTACTTTTCTAATCCCAATGGTTGGCCTCATATTTGGCGGCTTAAGAGAGAATCTAGACAAGAACCAGTTTTTTGGGCCAAACATTTTGAAGATAACGATGTGTGGATCCGCTTTGATTGCTCTTCTACTGGTCTCAACGAGTTTAACGACCAAGTCGGATGATCAAAACAAAGAAAAATACAAGGATCTCATGATACGTCTATGCTGGGATATAGCCATGGATTTATTTGATGACATCGAAATGCTGGAAATGATTTTGCCTCAAAAGGAATCGCTATCCATCCCACTTGCATTGGATGCTATCATCATTATGTGTGTATTTTTGAGCTTTATTTTTTCGATCTTCGAAACATACGAACAAGCACTAACCGTAGAAGACCCATCTAAAAGCTATATTCATGTATGTCGACTTGGTATTCAGATGTTATTGGTAAACGTAGTACTGCTTGTTATTCGTTTGCTTTTGTGGCTCAGATACAAACACGATGCATCTATTTTCATTGCAAAAAACGCCATGAAAATTTGGATTTCCATCTTGGAAATTCTGAAACACTTTGGCTTTTATGATGACGAGGCAATTAAAGGAAGAAAACGCGAAGGAAATCAAAATAACGCGCAAATGCCCAATGATCAACCAAGAAGGGACAACCTCGGCATGGGAGTACCTTACCAAGATGATATAAACATTTAGGCACTGCCTAAAAGCGGAGCTCCCGATACGCAATTCACAGGGAGCCCAATTTAAATGAATCTGTAAGGTAAAATGAAATCGGGCCGGAAAAAATCTTCCTTTTTTTTATTAGAGATGAATGTTTCAATGTTTTTTGATTATCAGAAATAATAATAGTATTCTTTGATTGCGCGTTACGTAGTTGTTGTATTTTAACCCACAGAACAAGATTGCCGCATTTATTCTGCTTTTTATTTCCACATGTTATGCTAATTACATAGATGCACGCATAATAAGCGAAGGTAATATCTTACAGTCATTGCGGCCTCTCGGGGCAGCGTTGACGCCAGAGGCCTTTTCTGAGTTCGATAAAGAGGATCCATTGTGGTATAGCTCCGCTACAGACGACACCGGACATGATGAACAAAAGATGTTTCTACCCAAGCTACACCACAATGCATCTTGTTCGCTATCTCAGAAAAGGTCTATTTAAAAAAAGATTTCTCATTAGCATCCATTGTTAACGGCACCAAAATGGCCACTATGTTTTTGTCTTTTGACTGTCTTGGGAATGCTTGCAGCCCATCAATTGCTTCCTCTTAAATATTGCTATTTATAAAATTAGTGTTATTTTCATGATAATGAAAAAAATGCTTGTAAAAACAATGCTGGTAATTTCATGATTCTTTGTAACAATTATGATTCATTTGTACATGTTAATCAATCAATCAATATTTTATTCAGTACTTATTAATATAACACAATATTTAAATATTTACATTTATGAGAAATATGACATACATAAAAGTACGAGCTACCTATGATAACTTAAAAGTTAGACTAGATAGATAGCTACTTAGTACATAAATTTAAATTGTAAAAGCAGTTAGGTAGATGATACATTTTTCTATTTACATGGTATGTGTAGATACAAAAAGGATAATTCATTTATAAACGTGCAATTTAATTCATTTATAAACGTGTAACAAAACATAACTTGTTTCATATTTGGTTAAGCTAATGTTTCTTCAACCAAAAACAATTCCTTTCCGAGCTTTCGGACATTAGCGCCCATCTTCAGGGTCATTATAAATCATGTTTCATCTTTGTATCGAGATTCGCTATTTCAACAATTTATAAAATACTGTATCCATAAAATGAAGACTGCGCACTGTTTTAGATGACCGCGTTCTTGTACTTTTACTGTTGACTAAACTTATCATCCGTGAATGGAACTTTTTAGAGAAAAGTCCAAATAACCGCTGTGTTCCTTGTTTACAGACTCATTTATTAAGGGTTAGCCTCATTTCAGTATCAGAATAATATTCACAAATAGCAACGGTAAAGTAAAGAATAGACAACTTTAACAATAAAAAGCCTTTGAAAGTCCAATGACCTTCAATAGAACACGCGAATATTCTACACAAAGTCGAGTATAACCCTGAGCAACAGGGAACTCGATACTAGAGTATTTCCACTACATGGTCTATTATGCATGAAGCTATATAATTGATGACATCTTTATTGGTAACTGAACTTAAAAATCTGGATGTACTTTGGAAAAAGGGGGTCTGTGTGTCGGATAGATAAATAATATTTTTTGCATTTTTAACTGTGAAAGTGTTATAGGAGATGCCGCCTTGACCTAGCTATTTTTTTCCCCTACTAAACTACTATCTATTGTTTTTTTTTTCCCCTTCAAATTATCAAAGAAATGTTATTATCATATAATTATCCATAAAATACCTATATTTCTCCTTTTCGAAAAACTGATATTTTCACATGTGAAAATAACGTTATTTTCACATGTGAAAATATCGTTACCATGTGTATTTAAGCTATTAGTTAGTTAGTTTTAATAATAAAAACCTTATTAAGTTGATTTTATGGATAATTATATAATAAACAGAATATTACATGGGTGCTTGGAGATACGAAATTTATCTTCTCGTGTTTTCAACACTCGAAGATATATTTCGTATCTCCGCACGCCCATGTAATATTCTTTTTTTATGTATGTTGTTCACTCTCATCTGTTTCCTGACCGGTTCTTCAAGTCAGTGGTCATTCATTCATTTATTATTTTTTAAGATAGTAAGTAAACACGTTAAGACGTTCAAAACTTGCATGCTATAAAAATCTGCAATACTACAGGCTTGGTTTGATTTATGTTACGTAGTATCATAAGATAAGTTAAAATAGAAAGGAAAATGCATGAAAAAGAAAAATATAGAAATAGTGTTTTCCATTCCCTCCCGTGCGATACGAAAATCGTCAAACTATAATTCTCGTGAAAGCGTAAGAAATCCTAATATGAACAAAAATCCTAAGTTTAATGTGATATCTTCACGAGTAAATTACTATCTACTACATTGTGATTATTGGCTTACGATTTGAAGTTACCGTTAAGGCGTTGAATATATATTCATTTGTTGAAGCACAATATATTAATCATTATAGTATTTTCGAATTTAAAAAGACAAAAACCTCATACGTTTGTGTGTGTATGTGTGTGTGTGTGTGTGTGTGTGTGTGTG